CTCCAGTTTGTGCCCGTTGCCCCTTGTCCTGTCGCTGGGCACCACTGAACAGAGTCTGGCCCCGTCCTCCTGACCCCCACCCTGCAGATATTTAGAGGCATTTCTAAGGTCCCCTCGCAGCCTTCTCTTCTCCAGGCTCCCCCAGCCTTTCTCCCGCCCTGCCCACTGAGCTTGGGCAGGCACCAGCCTCATCATCCGGGCTGAGGACCCAGCCCAGACCACACCTCCTAAGTGTGAGGCTCCGTGCACCATGGGGGACCATTCCCTCCCCGAGCAGCACCCAAACCCAGCTGTCCACACCACAGCTGGATGAGCAAGGGGGGACCAAACAAGCTCCCCAGCCACACAAACCCTGACATTGTCACCACCCAAGCACAGTCGGTCCGCAGAAACATCATTCAAACTTCGGTATGGGCTTTTGGGCCAAAAACACGAAGGAAGGGTTGTCCTGGGTGAGCCCCAGCCCTTCAGCCCCCCCCCCCCCCCCCCCCTCTCCTGTAGTATCTTGTGTGGCTACAAGATGGCAGTAAAGCCCGTGGCACGGCAGCAGCTCACCCAAAGCCACCTTGGGCATCTGATCCTAGAAAAACAAAGACGAAACCTGCTTCTGCCAGCACCTGCAGGCCCACCCCAGCCCCAGGCCGGCACACCCTGCACCCCTGTTGCTGGTTTCCACCTTGGGTGACCCCTTCCCCTTCTGCCAGGAGCAGCCTGGAGCACCCAAGGTCAGCGTAACACCTACAGAGGACCACAGCCTTCGACACAGGACCACGTACACCTCCACACTCGCACATCCCTGCAGAAAGAAGATCGCAGTGCAGGCACAGCACCGCAGAGGAAAGCAAGAATTTCTCTAGAGAACCAGGTTATCAACTTCAGAGCTTTGCCAGCCTGTTGAGCAAAGGAGGAACATCCTCTCCCCAGTTGTGCCCACCTCCTGTTCACTGGCCTTCGGCACACCAGCAAGTTCATAGCTTTCAGAAAAACCCATAGGAGGAGCACGAGTGCATGGCCACAAAAAATTTGACAAGAGACCTGTGGGAAGGAGACCTCCAGCACCCACCAGCCAGGAGCCTGGGTCCCAGCAGAGGTGATGGCTGTGCTACGAGCCACACACCGGGACCCAAGGAGCAGAGCACAGCCCAAGCTGGGGCAACACTAGCGAGAGGTCGATATAAATATCTGAAGACAATTAAATAGACCATCAAGAACATCCACCTCCCACCGTGCTGCCAGTTTAACCACAGGTCCTCTGGGAACACGGTGCCATCCCTTGGGTTACTCCGTGTTGCAGATCCCACTACGGGATCCGCTCCCTGCCGCACCTCCAAGCAGAGAAATTCAGGGATTACATTTTGGAGTATTCCATGCAATTCCCGCACCGCTTACCCCAGAACATCTGCCTGGGATGACCTGCGGGGCGATCCTTAGGCACCCTCACTTCCATACGTTTCACAACATGGAGCTCCTGAAGCCAGGCTTGGCGGGGACGTCGGGCCCCGGGCAGAGCACACGCTCATGAGGACTACGTGCTGCTCTTCACGCTGACTCACAGCAAAGCCACCTACTAACACAACCCAGCCCGGGCTTCGCTGCTCCGAGGTTTTACAGGATAGATCAGCTCAAATGGTGCCGAGCAAGCCTCCGCCGCTACAAGTGTTAAGCACCGAAGAAAAAATTGAAATACAACGCTTTAAAGCACAGCCCTTGAGAGACTTCTCTCTGGTAACCTCAGCACAAGCTTTGCTCATGCTAGCGCTATGGAAGCGGCCATCTTCCCTTCCGTAACGGATCCCTGTGGACCCAGCAACAGGCACTGCTCAACACCACCCCTTCTCCTCACACTTCAGCCCCAGTCTGTCTCCCCAGGAGAGTTCTGGAGGCCACCCAGCCTCCATGAAAGCGTGCTCCTGTAGAGGTGCCAGCAGCCTTCCCAGCTCACAGCCAAAGAACTCCCCAAGCCACCCCACGTCCCCAGCACACACCAGCATACGACTCCTCCGTTACTGGTCTGGGACTTCAGGTGTCAGGTTGAGTATGTGACACTCAAAGCCACTGGAACCTCAAGGCTCCCAGGAGCTGTGCTTCTCCCCACTACACTTGTGCCTTTCCAAACAACCGCATGCCTTGAAGCATCCTATGAAAACACAGAGCAGGGATGCAGTGATGCTAATTACCAGTGGAAACAGACAGCCTGCTAACGATTTCACCAAAAGCTGGCTTTCACAGGATTGCCAGGTTATTTCCAGTCCTGGTAGATCGCAGCCATGAGTTCCAGTCAAGCAAAGAATGACCAACGCCTTTCCGTACCTGCAGCTTTAATGGTTGAGGCAGTTCCAGAGCCACCTCTCCAGAGTGCAAGTCTTAAACAGCTTAAACCAGCAATAAAAAGTAAAATATAAATTTTTATTTAGAATTAAAGCAAATACTTCAGTATCACAAACACAGTATTACACTTCAAGAAATATACTGCTAATTTGGAGGGAGCATTTATTTGCACAACCACAACATGCGCACAAATCCAGAAAAAGATGTGGAGTCTGAAATTCTCAACATCTCACCGCCAGAGCAGTTGGTCACAACGTTTCATACAGAGTTATATGTACTGTAATAGATGTTGACAAAATTTCTACAGAATCATCTTTATAGACAACAAGAAAGCTCTAAGAGGCAAACATTGCAATCTATTCTTCTTCTGATGAGTCTCTCTCAAAGGTGTAGGCCATGAAGCAAGCATCTGGTCTCTTGGGGACAAGGGGATGCCCTGGTCTCACAATCTCAAAGCCCAAAAAGCTGAAAGTACGGAGCAATGCAGCTAGGGGAAAAAAAAAAAAAGCAGAAAACAAGTTTCATCCATTTGATACTGTACAACAGTTAAAGCATCCACCAAAACCAACTTCAAATGCTGCGTTGGTACCTCTAGAGACAGTGCTACAAGTTCACACCTACCTCTATCATCTCTGTTCTTGTGGAAACAAATGAACACATGATCAACTCGAAGCTGTTCCTCAGCAAACTCTAGAAGAACTGCAAAACTACAAGACAAACACAAGGTGTTCAATGCACATGAGCCAGCACTTCCTTCAGAGATAGCCTGCAAGGCCCCGCGAGGCAGCGTGCACGTGAATTCACAGGCTTAAGGGGCTAGGGTTGGAGCAGATCCCCAATCCTAGGTGTAACTTGAGGGCAGAAATCTAAACCTTCAGTAACACAGAAAATACATTTTTCTGTTGCAGCTGAAGGGAGAACTACAGTGACAGACTCAGAACCAGGCTGGTGTTTTAGGTGGGTAAAGGTAGCTACCAGTGACTGAAATCACCGACCTTTTGGGTGGTTCTGCCTGACGGAACAGGTAGAAGCAGCCCTCAGACCAGGATCACTTTGTTGCAGCCTCTTACAAGGGAGCATCAAGCACCGTATTTGGACTTCAATTTCCAGAACAATGGAAGCAAACAACAGTGAAGTGTTACGCCACCCTACTGACAGGCCTTCAAGACAAGAGGTAAGTTAATCCGCAGCTGCATTTCATTCCACCTACCTGTCTTTGC